ATCTAGACAGGCTCTTTAAACAGGTCTCAAACGCCCAGGCTGATCGACATTCCTCATATCCTGCCCAAATATAGGGCGGATATGGGGCTTCTAGGCGCGTCCGCTTCGTTGGACCCGACAGTCCAACCCTACCACATTGCTCTACCCTACCCATACCTTACCCATTGTCATCCTTAGATGTGATGTGAGAACACTTTTCTTTCTTCCGGTTGCCCCTCGTGAATAGGACTGGCTATTTGTGTTTCCTAATTTTTCGAGTCGATTCAGCCACTACCGTCTTCGTCTTTCCTGCCCGATTCAGCAACTATTGTATTGGTCTTTCCTGCCTGAGTTGTCTCCTCCTTCGTCATTGCCTCTTTTTTCTCTCTCCTTTGCTTTTTCGTTGCTTCAATCTCTAAATCATTCCTCGTCCGCATTTTTCCTTGTTTTTTTGTCTCCAATGGCTTGTCACCAAATCTGTTGTTGCATTTTCTGTTAGAAACATCCTTTAGTATTAACATAATAGGATCTTGATCTCCAGATTAGAACACCTCTTATACTAAAAATTTGGGACTGACCTTGACTTGCAGAAATCATTATTGGATAATCCTTGCAGGCTGCCATGAGTCTCCAGAGATGTGGAGTCCTTCCGATGAGAAAAGCAGCAGCAAGGTATATGGCAGCAGGGATGCAGCAGCGCCGCAGTCGAAGAGGAAGCCCATGGATGCCGGCAGCACTCCTCTCCTGGTGGCCGCCGGTAGACGTCGGTCTTCCAGCCCCTAGCACAACTTTAGGATCGGGCAGTTTGGTCGGTAGCCATGGTTTCTGTTAGCCTCTCTTACGTGCTATCCTTTTCTTTCTTTCTTTTATATCAAGTGCTGGGGCCGGGGACCGGGTCCAAAGTTGTTGGTTTAGAGGCCTCCGATCAAGGCTCCTACGTGAAAGGTATGGGGTGAAAAAACCTCATGGTTTCTCTCGGGTTGTTACCTGAGATCAAATTCCAACATTCTCCTCCTTAATCGTAAGGTTAACAAACATCATAAACCCACTCGTAACAGAAATAGCATACCAAAGTAAGGTGTCACAATGACCTATCAAATGACATTGGACCTCAATACTTATAGTATATCGTTCTATCTTGAAATGGAGAACATAATGCTTTATGGGAGTTGGATTATTCAACGGTCCTTATTTCCAGGATCAACAAGACTTTACAACACCCCATGCTAGCAAAATAATCATTCAATTGGGTGGTAAGTCTTTGATAAATGGATCCGTAAAACATTCAGACATACTCATACGCTCAACTTCAATAGCTTGATCCTGGATTCTATCTTTCACAACACAAAACATATTGTCAATGGTTTTGGCAACGCCATTTGACTTGTTGTTACTCGCATAGAAAACTGCATATTCATATTGTAGTAGGTGGTTTAGAAATGATGTCTACTGCCATAATTTCAGGAATAAAACTTAGTTGACATACAACCTGCTCAGTAGCCTCTTAACATGCCACATAATAAATTGCATCATTATTGATGCCATCAGTGTCATTATGGAGCTTTTCCACGATATAGCTCTATATGCGAAGGTGGGGATATAACATAACGTGGAAACTCAATATCCACACACATCGCGAAAATAATGTCTGAATAACCTACGGAACAGGAGCGGCAGGTCACGATGATTCCATACGCACATACCAAAACCAGTTCATGGGAGGAGCCACGCGAAAAAGATGCCGATTCTTTTCTTCTCCGGATGTCACTAGTGGACACGGCGACGGCAACGACAATGCAGGGCTCCGAATGCGACACCAACAGAAAGAAATGGCCTCTGCACGAAACGTCTCGTGTAATCATGCCCCTTTCTCTTTCTTTGTGATGATGACTTTTTAAAGTTTTTAAAGGAAATGCGAGGGTAAGAACAAAAGCAGACATCCACCGTGTGATGCGAGGACAATGGGCCATGGCGACGTGTAGGACGGGAAGACGTGAGTATGACATCATGTGAGAGCATCTATAGCCGGATGCCCCCAAACACGCCTTAAACGTCCGGGCGGATGGCCCAGTCACAAAAAATCAATCCAGAAAGGATCTTTGAACAAGTCTCAAACGCCCAGGCTGATCGACATTCCTCATATCCTGCCCAAATATAGGGCGGATATGGAGCTTCTAGGCGCGTCCGCCTCGTCGGACCCGACAGCCCAACCCCACCACATTGCTCTACCCTGCTCATACCCTACCCATTGTCATCCTTAGATATGATGTGAGGACACTTTTCTTTCTTCCGGTTGCCCCTTGTGAATAGGACTGGCTATTTGTGTTTCCTAATTTTTTTGAGTTGATTCAGCCACTACCGTCTTCGTCTTTCCTGCCTGATTCAGCAACTATCGTATTGGTCTTTCCTGCCTGAGCTGTCTCCTCCTTCGTCACTGCCTCTTTTTTCTCTCTCTCCTTTGCTTTTTCGTTGCTTCAATCTCTAAATCATCCCTCGCCCGTATTTTTCCTTATTTTTTTTTATCTCCAATGGCTTGTCACCAAATCCGTTGTTGCATTTTCCACCTCCAAAAATCTTCGCCAACGATTTTTCATCTTAGATCGGCACCATCCATGGGGTACACTCGCACGTGGCTCTAACACCTTCACGATGCCCTGCTCCAATTGTCAATTAGAAAAAATAGCTCATTGTATTGTACCAGCAACAGCTCGTAAAATTTACCGATCGTTGATAAGTTTGAGTACCCTTGCTAAAATTCTGGCGGTGCTCTATCAAGTCATGCTTTCCACTCAAGGAAGACAAATTCAATTCAACTAATTACAAAATAAAGAGGTGCATATTCAAAAACTCCGGACAAAATTCTAAAGGGACATAAATACGAATACAGGTCACTAAAAAAAACTCAAAACCAAATTCACGTCACAGTATAGTAGCCTAATTCAGAACTAGCTAGGACTGCCCCCCCCCCTCCCATCCCCCGGTCGCTCCCACGGGTTGGCACGGCCAGAACCCTAGCTCGCCAAGAAAACCGCCACCATCACCTCTTTGTTCTTTCCTAGCGGAGTGGCGACACCGAAGATCGTCTTTGTGCTTTAGGCCCTGTACAATGGAAGGTGCTTAGGAAAATAAATCAGGCTTTCCATTTCTCTAAGCACCTTTTCTAAACACCTTCCATTGTACAAGGCCTTAGCGTGCCTGCTCTGACCTCTCGGGTGGTGGAGTCATCGGCCCGTCAGCTGCACAACCTCGGGGGCTGGTTTCGTGTATTGCCAAGGTTTGTATTCTGGAGCGGTGTCTTTGGGTCGTGTGGCAGAGCGTCGACTCGGATCGCTTGAAAGGGAGGAGTCTTGACCCGTTAGGAGCACGGCCTCGGCGTGTTTGCGTGGCCGTATCATTTTTGGCCAGCTTTCTTATCAATTTTCTTCTTTCCGTTAGGCAGAGTTTTGGTCTATGAAGAGAGAAAAAATATAGTAGTTGTGCCCGTGCGTGCCGGCATAGGAAAGGGACCACGACTCACGCGTGACCAACGACGCTAAGGCAACGCACCAACGGCCGTGAGCCGACGTCCAAAACTCAGACGGCCCCCAAGTAGCCAAACACCCAACGGCATCGCCATCGAATCTCGTGTCCGGGTTTTTTTCCTGGAGGAATTGCGTGGTGGGGGTGGACTCCGCGACCGCCTTCTCTCCTCCCCACACGTCAGGCGTGCCGTGTCTCTTCTTCCTTCTCTCCCTCCCCTCCCGTCCGAGCCTGCTATAAAATCCCCGCCCCCTCCCATCTCCTCTCCACACATCCAATCCAATCCAATCCAATCCGGCCCCCCCTCCGGTCTCGAAAAAAAATTATATGAGACCAGGTCTCATATAAACCAGGTGAGACCCACCCTGATAGATGATATGTGGCATTCACAAATCTAAAGCATCTAATCTCTCCCCCCCTGATTTCAGGTGGGGGTGGGGTAGATGCTTTATGATTTGTAAATGCCACGTGTCATCCATCAGGATGGGTCTCACCTGCTAACCCGTGAGACTTGGTCTCATGGAATTTTTTTCCTCCGGTCTCACCGAGAAACCTCCGATCCAAGTGAAGCCAAGGTTCTCTCCTCCTCCTCCTCCTCAAGGTATGCGAGCCTCCGATCCCTCCCGTCCTTGCCTCTTGTTCACATGCTATCAGGCTCTGTAGATTGTTAGTTGATTCCCCTCTATTGCTGTTCGTAGTTTGGTGTAGATCTGTGAGTCGAGTAGTCATTGCTGGTCAATTGCTGCTGGTTCGGTTAGTCGAGGTTGATGATGCCGGATTGTAGATATAAATCTTCCCTGGATTATCGAGTAGAACTGCCGATTGGGATGCGGTTGCTGTTGGTTGGGTTATACATAGTTCGCTAGTTCTGCTGGGCTGTTGATAAATCTTGGTAGATTTTTTGCGGATTTATGATTTTGTACCGCTCATGACACACCTATGCCTGATCTGTCGAAGGATACGCCTGTAATTTGCTAGTTGCTTGTAGTTATGCATCGATGCTAGTTGCTTGTAGTTATGCATCGATTCTATTCTAAAAAGAATCATGTGGGTTTGATATTATTGTTGACATTTTACCTTCGTAGTGCTTCCACGCTGCTAAAGATTGCTAAAATATTTTAGTCGTGAGTTCTGCTAAAATTTAGCACTGCATGGTCAAATCCAGTGGCTTAGTTCTACATGATTCTTAGTTTAAATTCATCTCCGCTGTGCCGTGGCCATCTGGTTCATCTATTGTTGGCTTTCTGGAGATTTCCCTGTACCGTGCCTTACTCTTCTTCTGTGTGATTTGTATTTACAGATGCAGATCTTTGTGAAGACCCTCACTGGTAAGACCATCACCCTCGAGGTCGAGTCTTCTGACACGATCGATAATGTTAAGGCCAAGATCCAGGATAAGGAGGGCATCCCCCCGGACCAGCAGCGTCTCATCTTCGCTGGCAAGCAGCTCGAGGATGGCCGCACCTTGGCGACTACAACATTCAGAAGGAGTCCACCCTCCACCTGGTGCTCAGGCTCCGTGGTGGCATGCAGATTTTTGTCAAGACACTGACCGGCAAGACCATCACCCTGGAGGTCGAGTCCTCTGACACCATAGACAACGTCAAGGCAAAGATCCAGGACAAGGAGGGCATGCCCCCGGACCAGCAGCGTCTCATCTTCGCTGGCAAGCAGCTTGAGGATGGCCGCACCCTTGCTGACTACAACATCCAGGAGTCCACCCTCCACCTCGTGCTAAGGCTCCGTGGTGGCATGCAGATTTTCGTCAAGACACTGACAGGCAAGACCATCACCTTGGAGGTCG